TACAACCAGAGTAGGGTTCCGAAAATATCGACGTCAAACAGTACATCTCATACTAATTTCTGGCTTGTTTCATTCCTTTTTCGTTCGTTTATATGTCATTGTGGTAGGTAATCTTTGAAGTTTCGTCCGAAACTTCGTTTTTCGTCGAATCCGAGTAGACCTCCAGGGCTCTCAAGCGACATTCATAAGCGAAAAGGCGACTCAACTATTGAAGCTAAAGCGACAACCATTCAAAGGAAGTGTCGTAGGAGTGGGATCTACGAGAACAGAGATCAAACACGTGGTACAGCTTAATATAAGATCACAGTGGAAGCACAACTATAGTTTACCAATCCAAGCCTACGTGATGTCGAAACAACTGACCACTAAGATACCCACTAAAACAATTACCAAACAACCATGGCCTCACATTGACGGGCTTAACTTGGCTGATCCCAGTTATTTAACACCTGGGTCCGTAGATCTGCTAATAGGAGTTAAGGAATATGCACAGATTATACAGCCAGACTTAATAAAGGGTCCCCCAGGCACACCAATTGCACAAAAAACAAACCTGGGTTGGATTATCTTCGGGGATGTTTATGAAAAACCACAAAACGATACCTACCTTGTAATGCATCACCAAATTGATGTCGACGAAATTTTGAAATCCATGTGGGAAATAGATATTGTCAAAGATAGACACTTAACAAAAGAAGAAAAGATGTGTGAATATATTTACGAGAAAACAACAACTAGAAATGAGGAAGGAAGGTACATAGTTAAATTACCTTTCAAAATATACAGTCCACAACTAAATGAAATGATCACTACTACAAAATTACGAACACCTGAAGGGAACACAAGGGAAATAGCAAAACAAAGATTCTTGCAGCTTGAACGGAAGTTTAAAAAGTCATCAGATCTGAAAAGAGAATACACCAAGGTTATAAATGATTACATAGAACAAGGTCACATGGAGAAGATACCTGAAAAAGAAACGGAAGTAAAATCAGTCTACTTACCTCACCACGCTATAGTCCGTACTGACAAGGAGACTTCTCGAACTCGCGTTGTTTTCGATGCCTCCTGTAAGGGTGCAAACAATGTTTCACTGAATGAAGAATTGTTGATTGGCCCGCAGCTGCAAGACGATTTGCGAAGCCTGCTCATTAAATGGAGGATGAAGCGTGTCGGCTTCATGGCCGATATCAAACAAATGTATCGCCAAATACTTGTGAGTCATGAGGACGCAGACTTCCAGCGAGTTATTTGGAGACCTAATGAAGATGATGAGTTAAGTGAATACCGTTTGCTAAGAGTCACATTCGGTACAGCATCGGCACCGTATTTAGCCGTCAGAACTCTTCACCAAACAGCTGATGATGAAGGAAGAGATCAACCACTTGCTGTACAATCCATCAAAGAGAACTTTTACATGGATGACTGGCTTGATGGAGCTGATGATACACAAACTGCTATTGATATGGCTAAAACTGTCACAAGCATACTACAAAGAGGTGGTTTCCAACTTACCAAATGGTCGTCAAATGATATTAAATTCCTAGAATCTATAGATAAAGCAAACAGATCAAATAACGCACATATAGACATGAATCTTGATGGAACAATTAAGGCATTAGGTATTGTCTGGAATCTAAAAACAGACACATTTCAATACAATCTAACTTTACCAGAAGCTGAAAATTATAATGTAACAAAGCGAGCAATATTATCAGACATACAAAGACTTTTTGATCCACTTGGTTGGATTGCACCGAGTACAGTAATGGCAAAAATACTGTTACAGAAACTGTGGCTAGAAAAGCTCAATTGGGATCAGAATGTTAGTAAAACATTACGTGAAGAATGGAATAAGATAAGAACAGATTTTCTTGCTGTAAATGATATACAAGTAAACAGATGGTTTGGTACAACTGAAATAAATAAAACAAGTGTGCAGATTCATGGATTTAGTGACGCTTCGATAAAGGCTTACGCCGCCGCAGTATACATAAGATCTGAAACGAATAACACGATTCTAGTAAAACTCGTTGCTGCAAAAACCAGAGTTGCACCACTTAAATCTATATCATTACCACGATTAGAATTGTGTGGCGCTTTACTTCTCTCTAAGCTTATGAAACAAATTGGATTAGCAATGAAAATTCCAACATCGAACATGTATGCATGGACGGATTCATCTATAGTTATAGCATGGTTATGTGGTGATCCCAACCGATGGAAAACGTTTGTTGCAAACCGTGTTGTAGAAATTGTAGAAAACGTCAGTAACAAACACTGGTATCATGTAAAGTCAAGTGATAATCCTGCAGACTTGGCCTCCCGAGGAATGTTATTGACCGAGTTAAAAAAATGTGACTTGTGGTGGAAGGGGCCAAATTGGCTGAGCTCAAAAGAAATCAAATTCAGTCAGCTGAGTGATACACAAACTAATGAAGAAAGGAAAACAATTAAAGAAGTACAAACAAACTTGAAGATAAATGAAACTAAAGACGAAGACATGAAAATGATAGATAAGTTTAAAGAATTTAGTAATTTAAAGCAATTGCTTACAGCAATCTGTTACTGTCGCAGATTCCTACATTACAAATGCAATATAGTTATTCCTGAAACTGAGAAACATATCACGACAACAGAACTTGAAGAGTCACTACATAGATGTATAAAGATGGCTCAAGAAAGCGATTTTGAAGAAGAAATTAAAACACTCACAAATGAAAATAAAGTAAAGAAAAGAAGCCCTCTAGAATCTTTAAACCCCTATATAGATAACAAAGGAGTTGTAAGAGTAGGAGGACGGCTTAGAAATGCAGAAATTGCTTTCGAGAGTAAACACCCAATCATACTAGGCAACAAAAATGAACTGACTCTATTGATTGTGAAGAATGCCCACACTGAAACACTTCATGGAGGAGTGCAGTTGATGTTAGCCTATATCAGATCCAGATACTGGATACTACGAGTCAAAGATGTAGTTAAGGCATGTATTAGGAAATGCCTGGTGTGCGCTAAACATAGTGCTATAGCAAAAACACAGCAAATGGGTGATTTACCAAAAGTACGCGTTACACCCGCCAGACCATTCCTTCACAGTCAGTCATATTACGCCTGCCAATATACTAATTAACATAACCAATTAATTTGCATCACAATTGTTCCTAAAAGGGTTGGCTTGCAGTCTAAATTACTTGTACAAGTATTAATATGAATAAGTAAATCCTTAGTTGGACTGCCTCGTTGAACCAGTGGTCACAAGTGCAACTGCCGGGCAAGATCTCCGGTTCGATACACGGGTCGAGCAAAGCACTACTGGATTTTAAAAAATCTCAGTACTAGCACGGGGTCTGGAATTGTGCCCGGTATATGGCAATAGGCTTACCCCGGTATATGGGACTTATAACATTAATAGTACAAAAGTTGGGGTTACATTGTATAGTGGCATTAAGTGCGGTAATATGCACCTGTGCCTACCCCTTTTTTTTAAAGGGGGAAAATCATCGAATGACTGCTCCCGCCTGGGTGAGGTGGGAGGGAGTGTCAGACTCTTACTGACTAAAAACCACCCCGTTCCTTCTCCTGCACGTCGAGCCGGAGCCCGAATCGGCATCGGCCCTATTGGGCCCCATCTGTGGTGGTCTGATGGTTCTTTGAGGCGCGCGCGGAACGCGACGCTATTTTATTTTAATAGCGAAAATGACTTCGGGTATAAAAGGCATGATGTTATGTTATGCTATGTAAATCCTTAGTCTAGCCTTACTTAATATTAAAAATGTGATTGTTTGTGAGTGAGTCTGTGTGTTTGCATGTTACTCAATCACGTCAAGACAGCTGAAGTGATATCCCTACATCCAAACTACAGTTTGAAACCGGAGTAGGCTATGGACTGAAATAACGCATATTAGGCTCCTTTTTATTTCATGGGATCATGGTCGAAGCCGTTGGCAGAAGCCAGTTTTAAATATGTTAAGGCTCTACTGAACGATGTAGTAATATATAACATGTTACATAAACCGGCTTTGCAGCTCTATATATATATATATGGGGCACAATTGGGTTCGAACCGCGGTACAGGGACCATTGGTCGGCTTACAGAGTCGACCAATTGTTTGAATATCCTTAAAAACAAACAACATATTATAATAATAGGTAACTATTATACCTCTACTAAATAATTTCTACTCATATAACTAATTCTTTTCGCCTGTGACACAGGAATATTCCTAGTAGGTATAGGCATATTAATTTTAAGATCTAGTTGCTTAATTAAGATATTGTTGTACCTATGTTGACCAGTGTTATTATGAATAGGGAAAAAAATATTTAATTTATTTATCTTTCTTATATATATATTAAGGCCACGTTATTTCTATAAACGGAAATATGATTCCGCGATGTTCGTTGACAATAAACGCTGTAATTTAATCGTTAATTCGAGAATAGAGTCAGAATTGATGCCATTAGTCTGTCCCTTGATACTTGATTTACATAAGACAAGGTACTTAGAGGTGAACGTTCACATTGTCTTACTTATAATTTAATCAATGCTTGTTTAAACAAAGAGGTAGTAAATACTTACTTTGACACCTTAATACGAAACCTTGGTTATGGTTATCCAAGTAATAGGGGTCAATGCTTTTGTAGGCTTATTTATATATAAAATATTAAACGATAAAACCGTGGTGGTTCCATTTTTATGCTTGCTATAACAACAACCTTTTCACATCACAAAGAGTGGTCAAATTGCACATATTGGTTACATTGAATAGGACACTTTTAAACGAAGGTTGTTACGTGGTTTCTACATTTAATAATAAAAAAAAATCATACAAAAATACGCCAGTTCCTGAATCTCTACAGAGTTTTGAGTAAACACCTATACAAGGCGTTTAATTTGCGAACTAAATAAAAAAGGTTTCACGTGCACGTCATAGGTACGAATGTTATTGCTTATATTACTTTCTATAGATTCTATTTACTTAAATTATACATATTTCCTATTACCTTGGGTACATAGCGTGTAGGTCAGGATGCACAGGAACGTGTCTCGAGCGAGGGGACATGGCGGCCGCTGCGTTGATCGCTCGGATGCGTGCTCGTAACCTCTCATACTGTTCCGGCTGATACTGCGCCGCTATTGTCACTGTGGCTCCCGAGTACTGCTTGAGTGGAGAGGCCAACCAGAATAGAATTTAAGAACACTTCATATTATCCTGAACAAGGTACTATGTTGCAAAATGTTCACAAAGTAATACAAAACTTTTGATAGCAAGTTTCTTTTTGAGACAATAAGACCCCATTAGAACGGGCGGATAGTATTTATGTTCACACGTTCAGCGTTTTTAACGCTGGGTTTTAGGCGTTAAAGATTAATTTATATTTTATAAATAAATGACATTTGAATGTTATTTAAATCAAAAGTAAAAAAGACGCACGTGCTATTTAAGAACTCAAGCCTTTAATAGTTAACGATAGAATCAGAAACAAGTCACAAAATCTATATCTAGATAGCTACCTTCAGTGCAGCTGCAGCTTGTTCATGCGTAGCCCTTGTGAGGTCTCTGCCGTCGACACTTAGTATCCTGTCGCCTCTATGTAGCATGCCGTAGGCGGCCCCACCTACGGAAACACCCGACACGAACACTCCACAGGCGTCCTCATCCGTGTTCCCTTCCACCTCTCCTCCCAGCCCTCCGACGATGTCCATGCCGAGGCGTGAGCCAGACCGTACAAGCCTGACCATGCGGACACATCTGTAGTCGATAAATTACAAAATAATATTTCATTTTCATCGATAAGTGAATACAATAAATTTTAATTGCAACTTTTAAATTAACCAATAAAGGATACAGTAATCCGTTTTGATTGTTTAATTTATATGCGTAAAAATAAATTATGACCGTTTAATTTCCCATTGTTCTAGGAAATGTGCAAACTGATTTTGTTTAAAACTTTAAAAAGCCCTGGAACAATTTTAAATTTAAGATTTGCTAAAGTTAAGGAATTATAAGTTTCGCAAGGCGTGTTCAGCGGTTTCCCAGTTGCTACTGGAAACGAAACTTTCAGTGTCCAAAACTTATTGTCTTTGTGCTGTAGTTAATGGAATATTGTTCATGAAATGATTCTTAATAATATTAAAATTTATACTGAGGCTTATAGAAAATGTCTTGCCAAGATAAAATGATTGCTTCGAATTAGTAACACGTCTAGGGTACGGTATATTGAAATTTTATTTAAAAAGTAGTTTTTTTTCACGTTTGTATGTAGGTGACAGGTATCTTTTCTATGTAAAAATATTGAGCATCAGGGTTTAAACTTTATACGGGAAACAAGATCAAGATAAAATAGCAGCTTTATTGCCAACTGGAACTTGTTCAGGGTAAGTGCCAAAACAACAATTTTAGAGACAGCTGAATATTTCAATGTAAATACATTTTGAAGTATTGAAGCACTAAACTTTGAAGTATATAGTATAAAAACAATATACACAGATAAAAGTAACTAAATTACGTGCACTTTATGTAATAAGAAACATAGTTGGATGATTTGCTTAAGAGGCCAAAATATTATTTTCTAAACAAAGCCTTAACACGGTCGTATTAAAGTATAAAGTAAAATATGAACACAATAAAAATCTGTTCTAAAAAGATAGTTTATGATAACTGCGTATTTGGGTTGAGAAATTTGTGCTATAAATCTCTCGGGCAAATGTAGGCTGGCTTGAAATAGTGGATGCTGTGAAGGGTCAAAGTTACCTCGGTATTTCACTTGGTTCCTCTTCTAATAACTCGTGGAGCGTTGAACACGACGTGGCTTGAGTTTTGGCTATACAAATGAAAAGAGAATTAAAATACCAAGTCATGACTTTTTCTTTGTTCTTCTTCATTGGAAACTACCTCTATACTTTAGAACAAGCACCTAGCTTTACTGACGGATAATTCAATTATGACGTATTCAACAGTACCTAACTAAAGATTAATTGTAATTAAATTTGACTTGGACTTTAATTCATTTTAAATTATTGTTAATAACCCAGTTCAGGTATCTTCGGTTGTAAATTATATTATGATTGTTTCAAACATTTTAATATTTATTTAATCATCGAACTGAATGGAATTATATGTCAGCCAACATTTAAAAAACGACTATTAATTGGATACTTATATTGATAGCAACTCTAAATCGTTTGAGTTTAGATTAGATTAAAATTACACCACTGCGAACTATGAAATTGATGTTACTGAAGATTGATGATGAAAATCAGATAAAGGTTATTCGGTAATGTTACTTACTTGAGTATAGTGGAGCTGTTTTAGCGACAGGTGGCACAGAGCCGGCTGATAATACTATGAGCGTGACTTGGTCTCCTGTACTTCTTAGAGCAGATACTGCATGAGCGTGCGTTGCACCAATTAGAGATGTTTCAATACCCTAAAGAAAAATGAAAATCTTTTAAAACCACAGTTATCTACGGTACAAAATCTGCCAACAAAATTATTAGTTAGTATCACCATTAGCGACTTATCGCTGATGATAATTGCCCCATATAAAATACTAACTGGACTAAACTAGCTGGAGGCCCAATTACCCCCTTCCCCAATGGCCCTAATCCCCGAATCCCCAAAAACCCTCCAACTCCTTATCTTCAAAAGGCCGGTAACGCACTAGTAACCCCTTTGATATTTTCGGTGATTGCTTACCATCAGGTAATCCGTTTGTTCGTTTACCGGGTTATTCCATAAAAGAAATCTGATTCAAAATACTTTGTCATTCACTTACATCTTTATCCCTAACAGCCAAAATTTTATCGCCCAGTCTTAATCTGCCATCATGGTGAGCAGCCCCACCTACTGCAATATGAGATACGAAGATGCCTCCTCCACCTGCTGCATCATCAGCCCCACCGGCTATACCAAGGCCAAGACCTCTTACTCCACGCCATAAAGTCACCACCCTAGGTCTTCGAGCTCGTCGCACTCGCTGATGAAAACAGACAATTATTTTTAACGTTCAAGCTATATTTATTGCTATAAGGTTCATTATAGCGGCAGTCCTGCTTTTCATATTGAAAGTAGTCATTGCGTGTTTAATACCTCATAATTAGAACTATGATATTGATACTAACTATGTTTTGGAAACCAACTAATTTTAATAGCTGTTTATTATAGAAATAAGCATAATATTAAAGCAAAAAAAAAACATTGCTTTTTGTTTGTTTTTTGTTTCTCAGCGCTAATTTTATAAAATAAAGCAACAATGTATGTATCTCTACAAAAGAAAATGTTTTTTTGGCTTCTTAATGTGTACCTATATACTTTTAAATGACTTTTTAGAAAATTATTTTCTTTAGTATAATAATTATTTTTGTTCTTTCATGTTTCCTTTATAAAATGGTTTCAGAAAAGCAGATTATTAGGTACACTTCCAAGAATTGAATTTATTATGTTATCTTTCCAACTTGTCTCGTTCGACTCGTATTACGACTCGTATTTAGCCTTCAAAGGATTTTTTAATAACAGTAATATTATCATTTTGAATTGCAACAGCGCTAATGGATTATACTCTTCCATTATTTAAATTAAACTCGCTTTGATTTTTAATTCATAGAATATATTATAAACCCTTTGTCATTTTGCAACTAAAAGTAATTAATTAATGATTTTAATTAATAATATTTCGACTGCATCAAGCTCAAGATAACTTTTAAGCAGCCAAGTCGGTGCTGGGCGACTTATCGAGGGTATGGTCTCTTCACGGAAATAATAATGTATGTTCTTCATCTAAAGTTGTTTGTAGTTCTCATGTTACGTATATTAAATATGTTTACACTTATATACCACTAAATAACAATATTTAAACCAAGATATTGATACAAAAAAAGGTAGTTTCACCTGTGTTTTTCAACAATAATTATGTTGCAAATAAAGAAAAGGTAAGTTGGTGTCTAAAATCAAAAGCCACACCAATCAATTTATATTAAAAAGGTTATACAACCATCGTTACACTAATCTCACTCAACCACGACGGCAATAAAGATTTATCTAGTCCCACTACTTTTACAACACAAAAGAAGCGCTATTTTTAAATCGTAAGCAAAAATGTCAACAACATCAGAGATGCACCATTAGCGACGACAGCGCTAGAGAAAGCGATGAAGAGAAGTATAAAGCAGCCAATTACAAAAGAGCTATCCTTTAAAAAGCGCAGGCATTGCTGAACTTACTAATCTAACGACGCTTCCAGCTTTTTGAAGAGCATCAACTGCGACTGAATGTGGCGCCCCTTCCACAGAAATGTCATTTACCTGTGTAAACATAAAAATATTTTTGTCCAATGGAATAATTGCATGTTTCTATTAAAGCACTCGGCCGATGACAAAGTCTTTCATTTGTCTTTCATCTTTCAAGATTCGTATTTGTAATACTAGTAGTACATAGTGTGAAGACGGGTGATAATTATTCACGTTACATTCTCAGATTTGACAAGAAACATTGAACTTTAGAACTCTGTTATTATAAATCGCGTTTATCGTTTTTTTCAAAGAATATCAGGAACAATAAAATAAAGAAACAAAGAAGGGCCTTATTAAAAGTACCCTTAACCGACGAGCATGCATGAAAAGATTGACGACTGTTGATGAAGGGAAAGGTATGTAGTAATCGTAACAATTGGCGTTCCATAGTCTCTGCCTACTCCCATGGGAGACAGGCGTGAAGTAATAATATAAAAGGGATTAATTTATTACTAGTTAACAGAATAAACATATCACACAAATAAAGTACTAATTTGACATAACAATCATTCAAGTTTTGTGGTCAATTAATTAATTCGTTTGTTCATAAAATAGCATTAATTTACTATCGTTATTGTTCATTTTATTTCACACCAAAAATGTAGGTACTATAATTAAATTTAATTTGTAAAGGCGCTATAATTATTAATTAACGTAGGTAATCGGAATTATTCACTTCTTCTGTAAATAATAGCCGTTTTTTTATTTTAAATATAGAACTATTTGTGTGTTGGATATTCATATACAGGGTGGAATTTTGTAACACCACTGAAGGAGAAGTGCTCGTAATAGTTAAGACAGAAAATTTTACTCAAAGAATACATTCCTTTATTTTTGAAAAGAAACAAAACTGCATTTAATTATTTTTTTTAAATTATCTTGCCTCACACGGTAAAAAACCGACTAAAATCTGTCAAAGTTTGCACCCTATACTTTTATTACATACGATCTCCGGCCACCGTAAGCGCGGGCTTGCGGACGGCGAGCATGGGTGGCTCCCCGACCAGAAACAGACCCGAGCCTACGGCGCGTCGCGTTCCGCGCGCGCCTCGAAGAGATGGGGCCCAACAGGGCCGATGCCGATTTGGAGTCGCGGAGAATCTAACGGGTAACCGGGGCTCCGGCTCGACGTGCAGGACAAGGAACGGGGTGGTTTTTAGTCAGTAAGAGTCTGACACTCCCTCCCGCTTCACCCAGGCGGGAGCAGACATTCGATGATTTTCCCCCCTTAAAAAAAATACTTTCATTGCATAGATCGTTGGGGTCAATAACGATGAAATTTCTCTACTTTCCCTTCAGGTGGCATTACAAAATTCCACCCTGTATACAGGTTTAACTTTTTTTATATTTGATGGATCGACGTCTGCCCGCCACTATTTCGCCTGGTGGTAAGCCATGATGCGATCTACGATGGATGGTATGCCCATAAGCAATCTATTCACTCAGACCTTGAAGACACTCACATTCACGAAACTTAGACATAATTCCCCCCTCCAATATCCCCAAACTATCGTGAAGTTCCTAAGCCCTAAAAGGCTTCGGGTGTACATGAGACGCCGATGCTATACCACCAGATTATACGTCTGCTCGTTAACTAGCCTATAATAAAAAATAGATTTAATAGTTTTTTTTCATATTCTATCAACATTTTTCTTTGAAGTGAAACAAATGTCACAATTGACTTCAAAATAGAATAACATTATTAAGAGCCATGTATTGTGTCTGAACTGAACAGAAAACCTTTGAAATGTCTTTCAGTTTCGTTTTCCTTGTAACACAACACCTATTTGTCTTCCCCTTTATGATTGAATTACAAACAGCTAGAACCTTCATTTATGTGTAATTTATAAATATGATAATGTTCTTCATAAAATTGTTCTTGGCAAATGAAAATGAATTCTAATGTACGCAGAATACTTAACGGAATAGATTGCTGTCTTTTATTAGAAGGCTTTTACCTTTATCATTTTATTTGTACATAATTATATCTATTCTTTAAGCTATACTTAACACATAAAGCTACAGAGTTTGTTTGTTTGTTTGTTTGTTTGTTTGAATGCGCTAATCTACGTATCTGCTGGTTCGAACTGAATTATTCTTTAAAGGCTATCGTAAAATATCACACTAGGATCAAAAGATACCGGAGGAAACCATTTGGGAGTAGGTACTATTAGGCAAGATGGGACTCTTTACACATTGGAGGAAAACGGATATTACCTATGTATGCCTGTGCCTACCCCGTCAGGGTTTATATAAAAAAACGTTGATTTACAGTAGGATTTTCTACTGTGTCGTGGGTGCGTTTACAAACATACAAGTTCACATACACATGACACCCAGACCTGGAACAACAATCTGTGGATCACATAAAGAGTTGTTCCGTGCGGGAATCGAACCCGCGATACGTTGCGCGACAGCCAGTTGCCCAGCCACCGCGCCAACCGTGCAGTCAAGGCAGGATTAGAACATATGATTCAATTGCCTTTATTATATACAACTATAGTAATTAATGTAGATGAAACAATTCGCCAAACAGTCGTGTAGGTAATCACTGTAAACTTGTTACTACCGTAATTACTGCGTCATCTACAATTAAGTTTAAACTCTATAATGGTTAGCATTGTAGTGGGGCAGCCTTATCTAATGGTTAAATTTATTAGCTCTCACACTTGACATAGTAGTGATGTCATAATATGAGTAGCAAACGTATAATTATAGATGCATACATAGATAATAATATCTTCATACGCTTATATAAATTATTCAGGTCTTTTTTATTTTTGTCTGTAACCACTTTATCACTATATTAACATAACATCACGCCTGTTATCCCCGAAGGGGTAGGAAGAGGTGCACATTACGGAACTTAATGCCACTGTATAATGTAATAACCATTTTTCACTATTTATGTTGTGTTCCATGTAATAGAAGGGTGAGCCTATTGCCATATACCGAGCACAATTCCAGACTACGTGCTACTACTGAGATTTTATTTAAAAACCCAGTGGTACCCGACCTGGGAATCGAACCCGAGATCTTGCCCGGCAGCCGAACTTGCGACCACACGTCCAATAAGGCAGTTTAACGAAGGATTTACTTATTCACGTCACGTCACGTCATATGAGTACAAGTAACTTACAATGCAAGTCAACTCATTTTAAAACAAACTCCTAATCCCAAAGGACCAGTAACGCACTTGCCAATTTATTACCATCTGCTCGTTTACCGGCTTATCCCATAAAAAAACTGATCTTAGTCCATTTTAGATCAATCCAGAATTTGATAGAAACTCCATTAAAGTAATATGGAACTAATACATCGATTGTGGATTTAGATCGCCTATAAATTTCGGTCGTTAGCACAGATAGCGTAATGAAAGGATCGAACACCCGATTAACCTAGTGGGTTCGACTTCTATTTATTTAGAAATTAGCTGCTTAAAATTAACCAGAAACATAATGTTGCTATCTATACATATGATGTAACTATATTACGACTTTATCTACCATTTATTGCAACACATATAATAAAATCGTAGGAAAATCAAAACTGTACATTCAATATTATTTTAAACAAATATTCGTGCGGCGTGATCTACAATCGACTTTGAAGGCAAACATATAGTTTTTAGAATTGTTGTCTGTTTGTCTATATGTGTGTGTCCGTGCTAAACTCAAAAAGTTCTGCGTGGATTTACTTTAAATTTGGCATGAATATTACTAACAGGTCGGGTCAACATATGTATAGGCTACGCAATACATTAATACGCTGTGTATCTTCACTATACCACGCAAATGATGTCGCGGGCACAGCTAGTCATGAATAAAAGTAAATATCATGTCACCATTCCATGAAAAATAATATCTTGTTAGTTTTCAATTTAGATGACAGAATAAGACCAACACAATGAGGTTCATTAACCTTAAATTATTCTCGGATATAAATTGTTGCAATATTATTAAAATTCTGAAGGAAAAACGTACATAAAGATATAATATAATCGGAGTATTTTGACCTTAACAGAGTATTTAATGACTTGTATCTTGTATTAGATCTAGGAAAAAGATTTATACAATATTTGTTACCTTCAAAACGAATATAAAGCATACGAAGTAATTACGTTTTCATAGAAATCAATTTTTGTATAAAATTCTATGAAGTAACGTAAGACTTAACTTCGCTAATACAATTTTTTAATAAAGACATTATGCTATGTATGATATTTTTCCGAGAATAAAAATATCAATTTCTTGCGTAATTTTCATATTTATGTATAAATACTTTATAATAATTTACATAATAATTTCTGTTATTATTTGTGAATAAAATAATATAAAAATGAATGTTATGACCACTCTACGAAGTCTTTTTTTTAATAGAAGAATGTCATCCAATTACTTCTCCTGCCTAGGGTGAGGTGAAAGAGGTTTTTATGGCATACATAAGCCAGTAAACGAGCAGACGGATCACCTGATGGTAAGCAATCAGCGTCGCCCATAGACACCTGGAACACCAGAGGCGTTACAAGTGCGTCACCGGCTTTTTGGGGATTAGGAGTTTGAGGATCGTTGGGGATTCAGGGATTGGGGAGATTGGGGAAGGGGAAGGTAATTGGGCCTCCGGCAACCTCACTCACACGACGAAACACTACGCAAGCGTTGCTTCACGTCGGTTTACTGGATACAAACCACCCATTCTTACTCCTGCTCTTCGAATCTGAGCCCCGGTAACCCGTTAAGTCGTCCGCGACTCCGCAGAGGTATTTTTTTTTTTTTAAGGGGGGAAAATCATCGAATGACTGCTCCCGCCTGGGTGAGGCGGAAGGGAGTGTCAGACTCTTACTGACTAAAAACCACCCCGTTCCTTCTCCTGCACGTCGAGCCGGAGCCCCGGTTACCCGTTAGGTTCTCCGCGACTCCGCAGAGGTATAGGGTAACACTCAATATTATCCAAATCTAATTTCGAACTGAATTAGAAATAGTCTTGACGCTTGGCAGGCAACTTGAGAATCACAATATAGTCATCGAAAATTTGGAGAATGCTGCTGCCCAACCCTCGGAAGGTTTTTTGAGTGGGTTTTTTTTTTTTAATTTCTGCTGCCTTGATTAAGGCCAGAGCGAAAATCTGACTCGACCCTCGGACGTTGGTCGCAATTTTAGAATACCTATGCCCACTTTGATATTAATTATACCATAAGTCATTTCCATCTGTTACTAAGCCAACGAGGTATTCAACCAAGCAATTTGCAGTAACGTCGCTATAAAATTAGAATATCAACAACTGAGGTCAAATTTATTATGAATGTGCTCTGAAAATTAACCTTTATGAAGTTGGGTCGGCTATTAATACCTATCTATGTTCAGTGACAGACATAAACTGCGGTTATTCACTCTAATCTGTTGTTGGTAATCTACCCTTTATTACTTTTAGTTTCATCGTAACTCACTCGCAAATAACAGTAGAATTTTCGCAGTTGCTAACACTCTAGTGATGCCGTTCGTATATTACTAATAGAAGGTATCAAATTCTACATTTCACAAATTTTGTGAAAAATTTCCTTTACTATTTTTATCCGATTGTATTTACTTAGAGGACGAGATAACACACTTGGAGCTGCTGACAGCCTTACGGGTTACCAGAGTTCTGGTTCAAAGTAGGAGTAGGAACAGAATGGTTTTTAGTCAGTATGAGTCTGGCACTCCCTCTAGCCTCACCCACGGAGAAGTCATTGATTGGATAATTTTCTCCCCTCAAAAAAACAGGGCGAGATAAACACAAGGAAAGACATAGATAAGCTATAACTTTAATGAAATGTTTTTTTTCAAAGAAAGATGAATAAAAAAACGGGTTAACGGGTCGTTCACCCGTTTTTTTAAACTAGTAGATGTTTATCCACGTAACCCGCAATTTTTAGGTAAATCTTATTTAAACTAATTTCAATACTTTCTTTGCTAAATCAGTACCTAATTGATACATTAAGCAGTTCTGATTGAGAATCGCTAAGGACACATGAGGACATGTACCCAATTAGTGTATTATCGGAAATAACTTAGTTTAAGTTTATGGAAAAATCCTGTTTAATAAAGAAAAATACAAGAAAATTCCTGAAAAACAGGTATTCGACGGTCCATGGAAATATAAAAATGAACCTGTCAAATGAAATGTTCGACCTTACAGAAAATTTCATTAAACAAGTAAAGTTTAAGAAATGTCTTTTAAATAAGTTCCTTGTACAGTTTTTGAGTGCCTGCCTACGGGCAAAAAGATTTCAGTTTCATGTTTATTTTTTACTTTCTTTTTCTTTTCTTTTTAGATAAAATTGTTTACATGACGTGAAAATCACAAGAACATTAATGTTGTCTTTTTATGATTTTAATATTCTTTTGTAACTAAAAATACCTTTAATCTTCATAAATTATTTTCATTTCTTAATATTAATTTACAGATTTAGGATCAAATTTTATCGGCCAGATCAAGTTAGGAATTTTAATTCATCCGAATATAAGATTATTAGCTAAAGAAAGGTACAAGATGTTCATAATTTTACTTTAAGGAATTATTAAAGAACTAATTATAAAAAAGAAAGGTATTTCTTCGTAAGGATCTTATTACAATCCGGGCCAAATAACAAGGTCGCTGAATGCTAAAATCTATTTTTGTTCTATAACGGAATAATTTTTTAATCATAAAAAGGACTTGGAAATATTTCTACCTTATTAAACACTTGGAATATGAAATCTTGACCTTTATTTCGGACGCTTTGTTTAGGTGAAAATATTTAAATAAAAATAACACTACGGTCAGTTTTATAATAACCACTAAAAATGTTTTCCTAAATAGAAAAAATATTTTTAAAATTCATAACAAAAATTTTTCTTCATCGAACAGCGACACCCGTCCTATCTATTAAAAAACTAGGTCACAATAGACTTCCAATTCAAATAGATTGCACAAGTTGACTTGACCTTCTTCAACCTATATTTGTTTGATCTCAAATATTTGGAGCGTGGGTAGAATAGGAAACAGTTCCCCAGTAGAAGTTCACACTAAGTTTTTCTATACATCGTATACACAATTTTGTTCGTCCATTCTGTCCTTGTACGTTACACGTCCACCAAAAAGGCAGGGTTTATTTTTAGCCCAGGGTTCTGGGTGCTCCCTACACGGCTCACAAAGGTCCATAAAAAGGTTTGTGGTAAATAGAGGTAAAATAATTTTGCCATAGAATTTATAACGGACTGAGACCGTAAAGAGAAAGGTGCTACTTGAGCTCCTTACAGAGTAAAATATTAGTTTAAACAGTTAATTCCTGTTCTGGTATTTGTGACGTGCAGTATGAATAAAATCTATGTTTGTTTCCTTTAGTGTTGGTTGTTATGTTTTTTTTTTTTAATTGTAATAAACTTTTCAAATAAACTTTTACTGTTAAGATTCAATCATGATCTTTTTCTAAAAGCATTCTACTTTGTAAAGAAAAAACTTACTTGTAATAAAATATCTCCTATTTGCAATCTTCCATCTCTTTGCGCGGCACCACCAACTGCCAGTCGTGTTATGCTGACGTCACTGCCAGTTTCCCCGCCCGCTATACTAAGGCCGAGCCCACTCGCACCCCGTTCCAATGTCACATCAGCTGTCTCCCACACTGCCTCGCTGTCTGCATCCGAAGGACACTGCGAACAATGACGTATTGTGACACGAGGGAAATGTGTTGCTGTGGAATTAGTGCGTAGCTGGAAATGGTGTCTAATTGTCAAAACATGTTGATGTTGGATTTATCTTATCTTGAATGGACAGGCTCACATATAAACCAGATTCACTCTCGAATTTGGTTCGAAAAGAACTCATTTTAGTACTCTATATCAATAACTTTATTCGCAAATAATATGTGTAAATCATGGTCTAGTATATCAATAGTCATCTACAGTTGACACCCGAACTCCGAGCATAACATTATTATATTTATTTATTTTCTTTATATCTGTAGGAACCGAAAGCCCAACCATAATCGCGTCATAAAACCAGGGTAACGTAATCATAAACGACTTATTTCTTATTTTCACGCAAACAAAGTAAATAACTTCGATCGATTTAGACAACAAAACAACGTCGAACAAATAAATAATAAAGTGGGGAAAGAAAAACAAAACTACCTTCGCACTCACCAACGCTTAAGGACATTTGACTGTTTCCTTACCCAACTAACCGTATAAAGTAAGGTCCAGTACACAAAACAAACAAAGTAAATTAACCTCTCCAAGTTCTTAACTAAAACGTATAAACATAACAGTTTCGTAACTGATAGTAACCGGTTTATAAAGCTGCTTGCAAAGTTATATTGAGAAGTTCGACCTAATTATTTCTGTGTATGTAAAACAAAGTTGTGTTAATTATACCATTTGTAACTTGAGGTGGGTAACTAAAGTGATTTTCAAGATCTTTGTGATCAACACAAAGATTGTAGGAAAGCTAACGGGTATTTTGTTGAAAATGTAGACAAGAATATAGTTTAATATTCATACAGATATTTAATAGAGCAGAATATTGTTTGATTAATGGATTCCTAAAAGTGACTGAATTTTATTAGTTCCACACTTGGGAGCTAAATATCGGAGTCACTAGTATTTTTTGTTTTTTTTATTTCCGATAAATATTTTCTGTACAAGTATTTTATTAATTGGTAGTGTATGTCATACAAAAAGCAATTTAGGTTTCTGTAAAATGAGAACATTTTGTTGTAAAAGGGCATTTTGTTCTACAGTTTGTTTTTTATGGCGTAAAAACGAGCAGACGGCTCACCTATGGTAAGTAATCGGCGTCGCCCATGGACAGCTGGAACACCAGAGGCGTTACAAGTGCGTTACCGGCCTTTTGAGGGTTTGGAGTTTGAGGATCGTTGGGGATTCAGGGATTGGGGAGATTTGGAGAAGGGGAGGGGGGAGGTGGGTTAATTGGGCCTCTGGTAACCTTTTCTGTGAAGTTTTTCGGTGAAGTTATAGAGGGTTCAAAAAAAATAAAAAACAAAAACACTAGTAGTTCCGTTTTTTTGTCCCTAAGTGCAGTTTCTGCCAGCAGCTTCTCATAATCTCATCTTCCTGAACTGTTTCAGTGTGAAAGATTAAATAACCATGGTCATAGATAATAGCATCAACTATATGTACATCCTGACACATTATTATAAACAATAATAATATAATTTGCTTCCTAACCCTTGAAGAAATAAAAAGTGTCCTTACAGTTGCCATGTAAATACTTTTCAAACATTTCATTTTAAATGTATTAAGCGAAACCGTTTGAATATGAACTGCTGTGGTTACGAAGAGGAGTTACTTTACGATACTGTGTGACATTTTCCTGTTCGATAAATTCCCAATTTTAGATCGAGGTTGGATATTGTCCCAAAAAGGGATATGGGATAAAATATCGTATTTAACCTTTAGTCTATGCATTTATTATCTACTAGCTTCTACCAGCGGCTTCGCCAGCGTTCCCAGGGGTAAAAAAACGCGTAGCCTGTTCTTTGTTCCAAATTTCATCCCGGTCCCTTCAGCCTGTTTGATGTGACAGAGTAATAACATACACATAAACACACACACACACAAAAACTCAAACATTTTTTTGATACTCAAATGATAAGAAGGTACAACATTATATATATATACACATAATAAATACTAAAATAATAATAACCATAGCAAGTTTCATTGTAATCGGACTACTAGTATTAGCGTGATGCGTAAACATACAGACAGACACAAAAATTTTTTAATCACCTTTTTATGTTTGGTGTATAGTATTATGTGTATATACACATATATATGTATATATATACGTAATGACACCACACATAGTAAATAAATAGTAGGGGGTGCAGTGGCACCCCCTACTATTTATTTACTAATTTTTAATATTTTTTAATATTTTTAATGTACAGAATTGACACTTCTATAGATGGTTTTATTATATATGCTTAGATTTTAATTATTTTTATTGCTATACGACAATTATTTAAAACATGCATGGAAGACGTAAGAAGAAAAAACGATTAACAATTTTTATGACGTCTATTTTTAATATTATTTAACACTTCCAGTCAGTTCTTGAACTATCAAGAACGCCTTACAAGAATGTTTAGGAAAACATAAACCTTATTTTTAGTCTGGTAAAAAGCGACTACATTACCGTACCATCCTCCAATTTCGCGAATAACCCAATGAAAGGCATAACTGACAAACTATAAAGTCATTGACCCTTCAAAGTGACATTACTATGTCCGTCCAAGTTTGAATGGCTATAGACATCGAGGGATGTAGGTCGAAGTTAAATCGAACAATCTGACGGGAAACCGAAAGTTCCGCACTTGAAAGTGCGATTTCATTGTACCGCAGGTTCAATTAGACTACAGCATCTACTACAGAGACGTTGCAAGAGAAAGAGATTTTTTTTTTCATACCCCGACGACGGTGAAAGATATACACGGCCGACCCATCGGTCGGCCGTGTATATCTAGATATATATCTAGCCGTGTATATCTAGCCGTGTGTGTATAGATGGTAACCGCTTACCATCGTAAGCGGTTACCATCTGAAGAATTCTATGGCATTCTGTCTTTTGCTTACCAAATGAGAGCCGAGCAGAGTAGGAGGAAATGCGCGGAAGTAGCGAGTATACAATAAAAATAAATGTCTTTTATATAATTTTCACTATGCATGACATACATATTTATCTCAAACCCGAATCGCATCCTGAATTTTGAGAATACTAAGAGATAGTTAACAGTACTAAGCGCTTTTCCGAAATCTAATACCGAACAACTTTTGTATCATAACATAACATCACGTCTTTTATCCTTTTATCCCCGAAGGTGTAGGCAGAGGTGCACATTATGCCACTGTACAATGTAACACCCACTTTTCACTACTTATTTATGTTACGAGTCCCATAAGGGGTGAGCATATTACCATATACCAGGTACAATTCCAGACCCCGTGCTACTACTGAGAATATTTTAAAAACCCAGTAATACTTTGCCCGACCCGGGAATCGAACCCGAGACCCCTTGCAACCACTCGGCAAACGAGGCAGTCTTGTAGTCTCTCTATTCTCAATTCTTGTATATATATGTATATATATCAACAAACTCGGAAACGGCTCCATCGACTTTCTTTCAATTTTGCAATCAATCAATCTAGCTAGGTATCATTTTCAGAAAATATCATTTTCATCCAAGAGGAAAGTCAATGACAATAATGGCGGGAATAAAATAATGGGGGTCACATGGCGAATAAACACACTCCCACTAGATCAATCAACACAGCAGTTGATTTAAAACATGTGCCGCTTTCAAAGAGCATAAAATATTAACTGTAACGGTTTTGTGGTGTCTGCCAATCGATTCCATAATAACTTTTAATAGTAAAATCCGTGAGTGATCGGCGAGGATTAAAACCGAATACGCGTGACCGCCGGCAAAATTCAATATGGCAGACGAATATTCGCACCGCCGTAAACGCTAGTGGAACTTTTATAATTTAAAAAAGCACCAAACGTATGTTATTTTTAGTGAACGAACAAACTAACTAGTTAACTTCATAATTGGCTGGTTGATGCGGCTCTGTAGCGATTTCGCTTTTGGCAGTATGTTAAAGTTAAAATGTTTACCTGAGTCCTAAGTCTGTTTTAATTTGTAAGGTAGGTAACCTTACAAATTAAAACAGACTTAAAAAATATATAAAAGTCCAAAGAACCTTTTTATAAACTAACCTTAATTTTATACTACTTAGTACTCAGTGGTCTAAATTTTGTTGAATTATCTGTGGTGGTAGTAACAATAATTCGTTATAATGTCTTTGTGACACAAAAGGATGAAAAATACTTTTCTTTTAATATTGTATATTATAATAGTTTACATATATACGGCCCAAAATGGTTTCATATATGGGGTTAGAACAAACTGACTCAGTCATTAAGTTGACTACTGATTGTTCGCTACTACCAGTATGTTAGGAAACTAGCAAGAGTTATGTACAACATTATTATATTTGAAAAAGTATTTTTACAAAAAAAAAAAAATTATTCTCGTTTTCAGTTTTGTGGCATATATATTCGACTTACAGAATTATACAATTTTACCATGAATTGACATAAAAATAATAATCATAAAAAACGGCAATTCCTTATTTTCTTTTTCCAAAAAAAAAAACGTTGCTCCACACTAGGATTTTCTTCTTTGTTTGTTGTAAAAACCTTTATCACACCTTTACAATTTAGGTAGTAAAATATAATAATAGCTGGAAGCGGTGCTATATACAGAGTGGGGTCGGTTCATTAATATTTAAAATCTTCATATACATATGAATACTTTGAAATGGATGAATCGTTGTTTAGGGAATATTTCCCAATGTAATGAAAATAATAATTAGGTATCTGTTGCTTTTCGTTCGGCTTAGAACCAAAATATGTCCCATTAAATTATTTAGCTATTTATTACACTTGGAAAGTTCAATTATCATTGGGCCTCTGATGGACTCCAATACGACGATACATAACGCAAGCGTTGATGCACGTCGGTTTTCTGTGAGGATGTGGCCGAGCCGGCCCATTCGTGCCGAAGCATGGCTCTTCAACACTTAAACAGAATTTCTTTCAATATAGATTAATTTTTTTATCTTTT